AAAACATTTGTTTTCCTTATGCAAATGTACATTCTTTCATAACATCACAAAATTAATTTATTTAACAACTGATGCAGAAGAGTGAGGAAGAGTTTGGTGTTGACAACCACTTCTGAGGCTATTAACTATTCATAAACCCTCTGCAGCGCTGGGAAGAGCCTTTGAAGCAATAGGAAAGGCTTGGCAAAGCTTTTACCATCTTACATTTAAAACATGAAATTTCATGTTTACAGCAATCACCCCATCTCTCATTTGTCATACATCAAGGCTTGCATACTTGAAGCTGAAGCCTTATAACCCAAACGTTATCTAAATTACATCCCAAATCATCCAAAGGAATTATATTTATTAATAATTTTAACTATTGTCAACGGAGGTGGCAGATCCCGATTTTATTGCCCAATTTGCTTTAAAAAGCTGATATTTTCTCTAAGTTGACATCAGGTCAGTCACCAGCTTGGCCTCTTTGGGTGATCTCTAGGTCTTTTCCAACCTCAACCATTCTGTGATTCTGTGATTCACTCAAAGCACTTTGTGCAAAAACTTTCCAAATCACAGTCAAACGCTGCCCGAGTCCTTCTGAACTGGCAGGAGCTTTAGAGATTTAATCTTTACAAGCCAAGCGCAGTAACGGAAGAAAATACACTGTCAGTTATAAACAATAGCAGGCATTTTAATTCCCTCTCCCAGATAAGCAGCATTAAGTACCATATGTTTTCAAAGGCCTCCCCCATACTCTATGGAGGTTTGTAATATGTAGATGAAATGGGAGTTTTCAGAATCACAGAATAGTTAAGGTTGGAAGGGACCTCTACAGACCATCTAGTCCAATCTCCCTGCTCCAGCAGGGACACCCAGAACACGAGGCACAGGGTGGCGTCCTGGTGGTTTGGAAGACGCCCAGAGGGCTCCCTGGGCAGCCTGTTCCAGGGCTCTGTCACTCTGTGAAGAGGTTCCTCCTCACAGGGAGATGAAACTGCTTGGGTTTCAACTTACACCCATTCGCCCTTGTCCCGTCACTGGCCACCACTGAGAAGAGTTTGGCCCCTTCCTCCCTACATTCCCCCTTCATGTATTTATACATATTGATCCAATCCCCTCTCAACCTTCTCTTCTCCAGAGAAAACAGGCCCAGCTTGCTTAGTTTTTCCACATACAAGAGATGTTCCAGTCCCTTAATCATCTTGGTTGCCCTCTGCTGGACCCTCTCTAGAAGTTCCACATCCCTCTTGTACTGGGGAGCCCAGAACTGCCTCCAATACTCCAGGGGCAGACTCACCAGAGCTGGAGAGAGGGGCAGGAACAGGATCCCCTCCTTCCACCTGCTGGCAACACTCCTCCTGATGCAGGCCGGGATCCCAAAGATCCCCTTCAAGAGAGACATCTTCATAGTTCTGCAATGCCTGAAGCTAAAATTTGTTAAATTATACAGCCATAATCTCTACATCTTTACCAACTGAACAGAGAATATCCAAATTGCAGTGGGAAATCACTTGGTTTCTCAAGCACTAGGGCTGATATAAGCAAGCAAATCTGGACTAAAATGTTAATGGAGCTGGCAGTTTGCTTGCTTGTAGAGTTTTAGCACTGCTTGGGAGGAACCACTGCCTGAATGGGTCTCTACAAAATGGTTAATGAAGATTTATAGAGCTTAAAACTTAAGAAAATGCCTCCAATGTCATCTCAGCTGGAGTCAGCCTGCCAACATTCAGGATATCTGCCATATTTTTGGATTCTCTGAATTATTCTAAACACATTAGCTGCTTAATTTTGAATTCCTAAGCTGCAGATAGCGGATAACAAATCAAAGAGCAAGCTGGAATTAAAAATGTGCACTATATGTTTGGCTTGCTCTTGTTGCTAAGCTACTAAAACCAAGTTATGACTACAGGACTGTTACTAATTTATAGCTGCATTTCTAAAAAGGCCCTGCACCATCAGCCTAAGCATAGCAATAAAGGCACAGATTAAAGCCATAAATTAGAATTTATTTTGGTAGTTGTACAGCATGGAGTGCTTTACAGAACCTTCTAAATAAGAGCATCCTTCAATTCAGGGAGCTCTCATGGCTAGCTTGAGTTTTTGTTAAAAAATGAAATTTTTGAAAATTGAAACACACTGAGACTTCATCCACAGATGTGGGTTTTTCAGGGGATTGTCTCCGCCAGCTGCTGAGTCTCAGGGCTTTCAAAACAAGTCAAGTCACTGACCAGCCAAATCAGGAATAACTAGTGAGGTGTTTCTAATACTTGCAAGCAGAAGGTGGCTAATATTATTAACAGGCCTGGAATTGCAGTCATGGCCTCAAAAGAATCGCAGAGAAATTCAGTGACCAAAGATCACTCTGAGATACAGAATGCAAGGACATGCAGGAAAGCTTAAAATTCAACGTGTACCTGTAAGGAAGAGGCTTTTTTTTGCACAGCCTGTGACCAAGGCTCGTGATTCCTTAGCCAAAACGAGCAAGATTTGCTGGTTGTGTTGCCACACTTTTCCAGGAGCTCCTGGTTTCTCAAGCCCGATGAATACGACTTGGCAAACCACTGGAGTTTGCTTTTTATCAAAACGAGATGCAGAGGGAATCTTAGCAGCAGTTTAACCGCTATAAGCGGCCCCTTCGCTGAGGAACAGGCACAGCTCGTGTTGAGGCGGACAGATGTTGAGGTTGATAAAAGCAAACAGAACCACGTAAGAGGTAATTGCCAAACTGACTAGAGAAGCCAACTATGACTGACTTAACCTTAAGTGAATCCAACACTGCTTGCACATAGAAGAGCGCTGAAGATGTCAAGAAATTTCCAAACCACAAACCTTTGTAACCAGGTAACCCCATTTCCTTATCCATGCAGTGTACACCTATACATCATTGCATTGCCACTTGTCTATTTGACAGCTTTTCTAAAAAAGAGAGCTCTTTTCCTCCCTTTCCTCCGAATCTCAATCTTTTTTGGATCACTGGAGTTAGGAGAGGAAAGGAAAAGGTATTTTTCAATTATCTGGAGGAAACAGATTTGCTAGAAGAGCTTACAAAAGAAATGGAAACTGGTAGAGTGCTGAGTAATTAAGAGGATGGTTTATTTATACAGGCCGACCGTACTCATTTGGGAAGGTAAAGTCAGCTCAGCCAGCTTTACATTTTAAACACCCAAGTGCCAGTAGAAATAGGAAAGTGAACATAATAAAGGTCACTTACAGAACGGAGGGTCTCCTTGTGAAATGCAGGATGCAAGAAATTTGTACTCAGGGTAGACAGTGATCGAATCAAAAACCCGCCTGGATGCCACCCTGTGCCACATGCTCTAGGTGTGCCTGCTTGAGCAGGAAGGTTGGACTAGATGATCTCTAGAGGTCCTTTCCAACCTTGAATATTCTGTGATTCTGTGAATCAAAGCTGAGAGATGATTTGAATGACACAGGTCTCTAAACTGTGGCTTACCAAAAAGATGCAAACTCTCCAAAGAGGTCATGGACATTAGAAACATTCTCACATGAAGTTGTACATGTTTGATGCAATGAGTCTGGCTGATCAGAAACCTCCTATTTTGGGGAAACTTGTAATATATTTTTACTAACTTATCAACAGAGCCCCCAAAACACTGCTCTGAAAAATAGAGTTTTCAGGGAAGTTGGAAGGAACAGCCCATCAACATTTCTCATGAGGCTAACACTGATTACAGACCTACTTGTTGGTCCAAAATAGACTACTAATTTCATACGAAGACACATTGTTGACTGCAGGAAGAGTGCAGAAAGCAATTTGCACATTGCATGTTCTTCCTTTTCATCTCTTATGCCCTGCTGTCCTATTAATCATACTGGCCATGATCTAAGGCACAACTGTGGGTATCAGGCAAAGCAAGTATAAGAACACATATAACATGCATATGTTGCATGTATATTCATACTATGTACACACACATCATTGATTTATTCACACACAGAAGCAGGATCAGTCCAGCTCTTCCATTCACCTTCATGCAGCATTTTCTGCTGGAGGGGACATGATTGCTGGATTGGCTAAAGGTAATGTCAGAAACTGTTAATCTTGTTTAGTGTTTTATCTGGAAACCTAATTAGGGTACTCTGCATGAGTCTTAACACCATTACTTCCTACTGCAATTCACATTTTCTCTCCATTTTATTTAAAGCTTTTCGTATCCTGGTAAGCATCTGGAAAATCATAAATGACTTGCTACTTTAGAGCACAATCACCTGTCCTATGAACATTTTAACCAGTATCTGATTAAGATAAAATAAGAGGTTACAGAATTATTTGCTAATTTGAGGCTTACAAACAACTTAGGGAAGACACTTTAACAAAATTCCAAAGACAAGAACTTCCAGGGATCACTAATCCATCTGAATTAAGTCATCTAATTGAGTTGAACAATTTGGGCTTTAAGGAGCCTGCACACTACTCAAAAGAATGAACTATGAAACACTTGCTTCCTTTCATCAGGTTACAATTGAATATTGCATAATACAAACAAGTTTCTTGATAAGGGATTTGTGTGTTTAAAGATAAACTAGGCAGATTAACCATGTAAAACAAGACTCACTAGTGGCTTGAAATACAGGTAACATTTCACTAACATTTGGAAAGCCAAATTATACAACTACTTATTCTCAAGTACTATGACCTGAAGCATTTGCCCATAAATTAAGCAAAAATTTATTGCAAGCATTATAGGCTGGTGCTGCTTATAGTTTCTTACCTTTTGCCCAAGAATTTTAGAAGCTTTTAGGCTTCTAGGTTATACATGTGAGCCCCAAGCTTAATGGATTAAGCTTTTTTGGAAGGAAGTGATATTGGACAGACCATGAATGTAGATACGACCACAATCATACAAGTCAATCTACGGCACAGTCAAGATAAAAAAAAAAAGGGAAGTTTGTTTTGTATTTTCAGTTTGCAGCTCCCAACCTCCTCTCTCCTCTGCCTTTAACCAATGAAAAAGAGACAAATACAGTTTTGTTTAAAAGAAACAAGGCTCACTTACCGATTTGTAACAATACGGGTGTTACCAAAGCTGTCTCCATGGCGTAACAAAATTCCCTGCCAAACATTACCGCACCATGCATCACCCAGAGGCGGATCGGTATCCGGTCTATGGATCCTTCACTAATGGTCTCCTCTCTGCTTTCATTCTCCTTGTTTTCTGGCTTCTGAAGCTGTGCCACAGGTAGATCTTGAACTTGCATAGATTCCGAGTCAGCATTCTGAGGAGCCATTTTCATCACCATAAAAATATATATATTTATTATATCTATATAAATAATATTACCATATCTCCAAGGACAACTCAGGGTGTCTTCTCTTTCAACTTCTGTTCCTCAGGCAAGTAATGCTTATATTCCTTGTATACAAACAGGTATCTTGCAAATTCTCGTACAGGTATGAGACATTAAGAAGAAAAAAACTATTTGGTAGGAATTTCAACATATGGCTTGCTGGTTTACTGTGAGTTAGAGTTAAAAATCCATAATTGCCATTCAGTTAATACCAGTTTCATAATTATTATTGAAGAAGTGCTGAAGTTGTTTTTCTTGCTACACAGAGGTGGAAAGGCGACACAAAGAGGTGCTCCACTGTTAATCCCCATCGAGCGGCTGATTAATCTGCAACAAAAAGCAACCTTTTCAAATATTTCAATAGCATTTGTCAGGATATCGTCCCCCCACCCCCTTTTAACCATATACCCTGTTTCCTGCTTACTGTTTTCCATTGTCCTTGCTTGGTGTAGAGTCTTTTATTCCACACTCCCTCCTACCCCTGGACTTTCCATGACAATGCAGTTATTCCTGATGCTTAAAGGATGCTTAGCTGCCCTGCTCCTCCAAATTTGTGCTCCTAAACCACAAATGCATCTGTGATTCTCAGAAGATCTGATGCAAGACAAACAATTCTGGGAAATTTAATGTCGGTTCCACATCAGAAACGGCTGGGATATTCCAGGATGGTGCCAGGAAGATGACTCAGGCGCTGCCAAGGGCTTGTTCACAAGGACATCCCAGCTTACACTTCTGGAAGCTGCCAGTGACTTTACAGTAGCATCTAAGACCCAAAGCTCCCTCAACACCAGCAAGTTGCCCACACAGCTGAGTGAAGAGAACCATTCACGCTTCATTGTGAGAACTGAGACCTTCTGACAACAAAGACTTCCTCAAACCAACATCAATGAAAATAAGCCCCTAGGAAAACACTTTATAAGATCAATATTTAAACTTTTAATGAGGAGAAGCAGAGCATACACATCCCTTTTGACCATCTACATGCAGGCGCAGGTCACCTTGGTTTCCATCTCCTCTTAGGTTCTGACATCTATAATAAAACAATGCAAGTCTTCCACAGGACATTATTCCCAAACTACATTCCAACCAAGCAAAACCGCTCCTCCTGTGTGTCCCTTATCTGCGACAGACATTTCAGCAAGAATATGTATCATGCCATTTTGGTGAAAATGTGAATGTTTTCAAGCACTTTGAGAAAAAGGAGCATTTTGTGAACACCCCTTACTGTTAATACCAGTCCAGAGCTGAACCCCTAGAGCTCTTGTATAGATTTTTTTTTTTTTAGTGGAAAGCACATTTTCAATTTTAGCATTGCAGTGGTCCTAATGTAGGATTGCTTTATACAATGCTAAGGTATCCTGGATAATAATTTGCTCTAAAACGCTTCATTTATGAGGCTATCCCTTCAAAAGAAAACAGACAACAAAATCTCTTCATCTTCAAGACCCTCAAATCAGCCACATCTTCAAGATGAAGCGCTTAGACCCTTTAAGTATCACGTGGCAGCTTTCACAAGGTAGAGTTCACGAGCAAAAACTAAAGGAATGAACTTTTTAAAATCAAGAAAACTGAGCAGAAAGGGAAACAAAAAGGCTCTGCCAAGAAATTTTACTCACTGCTCCCCACGACCTCTTAGGAAACTATTGTCCCATGAGGTCTTCACGTTCCTCCAGATCAAAAGCTTTTCAGTGGCTACCTAGGTTTCATGCTGGACAAACTCTGTGCATTTCTCTAGGAAAAGTTTCTTCTTGCTGTTTCACAGACCCAAAAGTTGAGAGCTTTGTGTCCTGCAACCACCTCCCGTGGGTCCCCTACTTGCTGGATCTCACACACTTGCTCGTGTCCAGATGGACCCCTGCTCTGCAGACTCTTCTTGCCCTGCAGCTTCCAGGTCACAGCCACAATACAGCAAAATCTGTTGCTGCTTGCCATGCGTGGCATGGAAGTCAACAGTTATTTCAGATTTCAAACCGAATGACTAGAGCCACAAACCCTAACACTACAATCAACTCAAAACCTGCTGTTTTTCTCCTTCCAGGCTCACAAAGACTACTACAGCTCCCAGATGTGACCATCCTGGTAAGAAGCTAATACTACAAGTTGCTTTTGAGCAGGTCAAAGCTTGAAATCATGTGAGGAAAAGCTACAGTGACATATTGAGCCAGATCACAAGGGCTTCACGTGTTCAAGTGCATTAACACATAAACAATAAATGAACAAAAGATCTCAAGAAACCCTTTCAACACCTACTCAGTGCCACCAGGGCCAGCTGAGATGCCCTGCTTGGCATTACTGATTTACAGGTCCTTAGTCTTGTTCTTCATCAGCTCCTTGCTTTTCTAATGCCCTTTATTTCCATCTGTCAGGGTTTGGATTTGCTACGTTGCTGCACAAGCCAGAGCCCATTTGTCTCTTTCCAGTAGCTACTTAGAGAGCTGAAGTCCCAGCAGGAGAGACATGTGTGACATTCTCCTACCTTGCTACCTGAGCTTTGCTCTAACTTCTTGAATGGCTCTTAGTTTATCATAAATATGAAATACTGTTTGCATTAAAAAGAATCATAACAGAAGTTCTGGCTGAGTAAAGCCTCCAAAATAACATGCTGCATTAGATAGCTATAAAGATTATAGGCTATAAAGATTATAGGAAGATTCCTCCCTTTATGCTTAATTTCCCTTCATTTCCCTGTCTAGAAGGGATTTGATTCCATTTCCCTAAACACCTCATTTAATAAATAGTCAGGTTGGAGAGACCTGGAGCTCTACACACCAGAGGTTTTGATGCAAGGAGGGTGACCTCAGGCTGGGAATATTTATCCCTGGCCAGGGATAAGGAGGCAGCACCAAAGAGGTGTTGAGACCTGGGCCCTCTGAGCAAGACTCTTAGGGGAAGATTGAAAATATTATGCTTGAAGTGGAAGATGAGCAGAGAAGAGGCTGGATAATTTCAGAGATGAGAATAGCAGATGATAGGCAGAAGCAGACTTTAAAGCTGTGATTGAGAGATAAAAGAACAGTATCTTTTAAGCATGCCAAAAAAAAAAAAAAAGCAGTTACTGTATTCAGACAAGAGCAAGAAGCAGAACAGGCAGGTTTTATCTAATGCAACAGAGGATGAGTGTTGCATTATGTCAATTTTGTGGTGAGCATCATGCTCGTCTTCCCCCAGAACTTTCATCTGGCTCCAAGCACGTCTGACAAGAGCTGGAGAACTGCAGCCTCTCGGAAAGGTTTTGCTAGGAGCCCTGTTGTGTTCGTTAAGATGCCAAGGAGGGCACCTAGCTCTTTCTCCACCTCTTTGGGCTAGGAAAAACAAGACTTCATTGATAAGATTTAATACAGCACCTGAGAAATTTCACATAAAACACGCCAGCATTATTTTCTTTTAAAAAGTGGGAAAATGGGCTTGCATTTTATCTATCATTCAGCCAGCGTTGGCATTAAAAGAGTTTAATAGAATTAAAAGTTTCAACTACCAAAAGAGAGTTTTAGCTACCAAAATGTAAAAGCATAGAAGATGTTCCTCTATAGAAGGTGGTTTAGAGGGTGCAAAGAGCATCTCTGGATGCAAAGGGCACTACAGATAAAGCCATCCTGCTGATCTTCTGAAGTGCATATGGGAAGGCAGGGGTTGATTACACTAGCACTTCTTGAGCATCTAATTGCAGATGTTTCACTTGGACCTTTGGCCACCTAGAGACAGGGACACGACCTGTAAAGTGGTAGTTAATGTTTCAACAAACCTGGCAAGTTGCATATTCTGACAACAGGTTACATTTACAGGCTGCCTAGAGATGCTGTGGAGTCTCCTTCTCTGGAGATCTTCAAAATCCCCCTGGATGCCACCCTGGGCAATGGGCTCGGGGTGCTGCTTGAGCAGGGGGTTGGACTAGATGGTCCCCAGAGGTCCCTTCCAACCTCAACCCTTCAGTGGTTCTGTGAAAACGAATCTGGAAGCAAAAGTTTTATAAAAGCCACTGAAATGCTCAGAAAATTCTCTGTTACACTGCTACTCCCTTGCATCTAGGCATAAATCCTTACACAAGTGTGTGCAGCCCAGCACAACGCCTTACAGGCTGCAGCTTACAGCCTTCTTCTGGCCATCAAATGATATAAATGATTTTATAGACCATATCTGTGGCCCACAAACTCCATGTTTTGTCCCTCACAAGCACTATGGTGCCAGAGAAGTGAGAAAAGCTCCTGCTAGACACAATGCAACACAATACCTCAAGTGACTTCGATCCTAGTTCACAGCATATTTATTTTTTCCCCCTTCCTAAACACAATTTCACATGTAGAGGTTGACAAGCAACCCCAGTTTCCGCATCTCTGATACCATCCTCCAGAGATCAGGTGATGGGCAGCGCACCCATGGGTCCCAAAATAGAACATAAAGAGGGTTAACAGTCATCTTGTCCAAATCTTTTAAGGCAGAGCTATTTTAGCGTGTGCTTCCAGATATCTGCTGCCTGCAAGGAACAGGAATGCTCTGTTCTACACACGACTACATTTGCTGAACCCGTGCCAAAGCGAATGACTTTAATTAAAGTTACAGAGCAGCAACTTTCAGGTAATCGCATGCATATTTTATGATGTAGTAAGTTTGGCAAGATCAGGTACTGCTGGGTACCATGAGACAATTTCAGACCTTGAGGAGGGCTGAATTTGTGATTTTTGCCCTCTGAAGTCACTAGGCAATCACTGAGGCATCTATCAGCCTGAAAAACAGTTCATTAAACAAGGGAGAAAGTTCATTAAACAAGGGAGAAAGGCATTACCTGCAAGATCTTAAGCTTTCAAGGGAAAAAATAAGCATGACTGAAGAGGGACAGTTGCTGCCACCGTGCAGGTAGGAGCAGCTGAGGCCACCCAGGATATTCCCTGCACTACAAAACCCATTGCAGCTTCCAAACCTGGTGGAAAACTGTGTTTTTGCTGGGGGCAACCTGTTTTGCAGGCCAGGACAGTTCTGTTTCACAGTCAGTTGCTTGCATGGGACAAACACCACAAACTATTTTACCCATTTTATAATGCTGATTATACTATAAGTTTCCCGGTCTGGCATAAACAAGTACTTCCTCTCAAAGCAGCAGCCTTTTATTTATTTATTTTCCACTCCCAGGTTCCTTAGTCCCCCTCCTTCCTGCAGGGCTGCATGAGCATTCACAGAGCAAACCAGACAGTGAACCCAACAAAAACAGACCAAAGAAATGCAAAAATCCTTTGCTCAGTTTTATCTGAGTGCACAGCTGCACTGACCTGCAGATAACCAGGGGAGTGAGAAACAGGCAGCTAGGAAAGCACCCTGGATACCAA